ATGAATGGATGAAATTATGTAAAGGGTTATGAAGAAAACAGTTGTATTTAATACAGAGCCTCATACAGTTTTAATGTCTTACAGCCTCAGCTCAATATCTAGTAACTTAACTAACTTAAATGTTTTTTCACTTTTCCTGAACCATCTGATCCCACTGTCTCTGTCCCTATAGTGCATAAACCAGTGATTCTGGTGGTGATGCACCACACTCATGAAATTCATCGTGCTGTAGGCAAAAGCAGTAGACAGGTCGACGACCCAGATGTCTGCCTCACTGTGGATTGTCTCTTTTATGATGGCACCCTCCTTAACTGCAGTCTCAATGACAACATGTGGGCTGACATCCAGAATCATTTTGGAGTTACTCAGGTACTGACTAGAAATACTTATCTAATATTGATCTTTTGAATAAGGTAGTGGGTAGGTAGGTATGATTCAAACATTGCAGTTTGTTACAAATGCTCCAGTTAATTTGTTATTTGTATTCTAATTTTTCTTCTTCCTTTTAGGGCTCTGACTTGCTGACCAGGATAGTCAATTGTAAGTGTGACTACAACCATGAATTTCCAATTACAACTTTTTTTTTGCCCCAGTTTTACATTCAGATTAAAATGACAATGTATGTAGTTCTCCCACCTGTGAAATTTCTGCGAAATTAGCTGAAAAGTACCTCAAAAGTTACACAGAACAGATGCGAACTGAGGGTTTAGGTACACAGGAGGACATTAGGGCAGAATGGACACACCTTTGGAACACAACTGAACAGACCAGACATGAGTGTGGAGACAGAAAGGGATCATAAAACATGATAGCTATTGCATTACGAAAGCACACAGATTAAACTTAATCATAATCTAGGAACATGAAGTAGAATATTAAAGAATCAAAAGAACAGAGAATACAATAGATTACCAAGGAAAATAGCAACCAGCTAAAGTTACAAAGAAGCCAGACCTAAAAACCAGAGGTTCTCAAAACACAAGGAACCGTAACCTCATAAATTCAAAACACTGGGCCAAAGACCCACATATGAGCTCGAGTCCCATCCCATTCTTAATCTATAGCATTAAATATGATATTGACCCAACCTTTTCAAATATAATTGCTTCATAGCTTCAATAGCTTTAACTAGACATTGTACAAGGTTTATAATTGTGTTTATGGGATTTTTTGACCATTAATCCAGAAGCACATTTGTGAAGTCAGACACTGATGTTGACAGCAATCTCTGACTTTACGTGGCCTTTATCTTTGCTGCTAAATTGCTGTCGTTCCCAATCACTTCCACTTTGTTAATTCATTCATAATGAGAAAATTTCACAACTGAATTTGTTGCACCAGTGGCATCTATCATGGTACCACACTGAAATTTACTGAGCTCCTGAGAGCGACCTGGTCTTTCGGTCTTTCATAAATGTTTGTAGAAGCAGTCTGCATGGCTGGGTGCTTGACTCGATAAATCTGAGGTTAAGAACGTGATTGGAGCACCTGAATTCAATAATTTAGATGGGCCCATGAAAATAGAAACTTTGATATCATTATTATTATTGTTTTAATTGCAGTTTCTGCCATTTGCATTGTGTTTTGTATTTTATATATAATATTAAAAAAATACCATCTTTAATAATCTTTGTTTTTCTTCATTTTAGGGATAAAGAACCATCCACTGATTGTAGCACTCATCATTACATTCATTTTTGTCATCATTCTACTAGTGACACTTTCATAAGTAGACAAGGTCGAGCATGCTCATGCTGAAGGCACTAACAAGTCGTCAAGTACAAATGTGTGAAATAATTCTGCTGAATGTATTATCATAATTATGCTCATAAAGAATAAATACAAATCTTTCCTGCCTTTGTTGCTTTTCTGTACTTTATCTTATTGATCTTATCTTATTGACCTTTTACTTATTACTAAAAACATGATTTACTAATAAATAATAATAAATATGGTGATGTGAAAAAGTGTTTTGCCTCATTCCTGATTTCCTATTTTTTGTCAAACTGAAATGAGATAATCAATCAAGTTTAAATATTACACAAAGATAACACAAGTAAGAAAAATGTTTTCAATGTAGGTGTTTATTATTGAAGAGGGAAAAAATCTAATCCTACATGGCCTTGTGCAAAAAAGGGAGCCTAAGCCTACTAACTGGTTGGGCCACCCTTAGTAGCAACAACTGCAATCAAGCATTTGAGAGTCTTTTAGAGCACCGTGGGGGAACTTTGTCCGACTCATCTTTGCAGAATTGATGTAATTCAGCCACATTGGAGGGTTTTCAAGTATGAAGCGCCTGTTTAAAGTCATACCATAGCATCTCAGTCGGATCATTGTGCTTCAGAGTACATAGTTGTGGCTGCACCGCACCTTCGTCACGAGGTAAACAGTAAATGACACACATAGCGTGTAAGGTGACTCAGATTTAAAATATTGATTGATTAATATATTGATTTACTAATCAGTGTTGATGTTATTAAAATATGTTAAAATGCCTGTGTGTACAAAAACATTTGTAATTTTGGAAATACATTTTATGCCACTGGTCTCTCTTCAGCATAAATGTAGTTAGTTGAGTTGTTGGGTGGGGGATACTGATATTTTCTACTTCAACTTGTCAGGTGAAGCTTGTGTTTTGGACTGACTTCATTTTTCTACAACACTGCCTCCCAGTGGTCGTGATCAGTATTGCAGATTCTAATGAGATGAACAAACAACTGTTTTTTCTTTTTCTTTTTTTTTTTTTTTTTTTTTAATCAAGGTTCATCTTTAAATTGTATCACACACATTTACAATGATTTTCAATAACTCACACCTCCTGCCTTTCTTGTCTTTTCTCTCTCAAAACACATTCTCCTCTCTGCATTTGTCTTTGTTTCTCAAATCAAAAGTGAAAGTGCTGCACTGAGAGGCGGTCGGGGAGGGGCTTTTAGCGTCTTCAGTGTGCCCGTGACACGAGTCACGTATCAAGCTCTTCCGTAAGTCGACTTTAAAAATGATTAACTAACCATATAAGGCTTTGAAGTGCTCCCTCATCTCTAACGTGCATGCAGATTACACTCTTCTAAGGTTGTCTTTCTTTTTTCGTTTTTGACTTTGTCTGGATCCAGTAAAAGCTCGTGCAGAGCTTTCAGTGTTACCAACACTGACACATATTTACCTGCTGGCTGAATTTGTTCAACTTTTTAAATTCCAACTAAATGCTTTTTTCTTTTTCCGCTTGTTTCCCAACGCAAAGGAAAGAAAGAAGAAAATGGTGAGAAAATACATTTACTTTATTACGTTTGTTAAACACTTGATGGCGCCATACAGCTGACAGTTCGTGAATGCAGCATTTTGCAGCATAATAGGGAACTGTTAAAGATATAAAGAGAAGTAAAGGAGGAGTGAATCTTTGACTTATGGTGGTTTCACTAGATTTGGGGAGCACTTGATCTAGTGTCCAATCCAGTCACATGTCAGCTAATCCAGTGTTACCTGGATTAGCTGACATGTGCATTTCCATTCATTAAGAAAAGCTCACATGGAAAAAGCTACATTCACACTGACAGAAATTCACCCACTTTCTTTAGTTTTGCTTATTTAGATCATTAATTGGCACACACACAACATAAACTGCATAAAAATTATAAGCATATGCCTAAAATATTCTTTTTCATCCATCTTTAGCTTCGGGGAAAAAAATTATTTATCTTTGAAGCTGGAAATACAAATGGGGCTCATCGTCAAATTGTTGAAAGGTTGAAAGATGTTGGCCAAGCAGAGGTGAACGCTCTAAATGAATGCGACTATCTTCTGGTTTTCTGTCCTGTTGTTTCACGAGTTGGAACGGACATCGGAGAGGCTCTGGACAACATGCCCCGTGAGGAAAATTCAATTAGTTTTTCTATTGTCACTAATATTGTGAAGGAGTTGGTGCTTCTAAGTAACCGGGGAGATATACTGACAAATCCAGTGTCAATATTGTTTCTTAGATAAGGGCTATTCTCATATCTTTTTTGGACTAATGAAAAATGGAAAATAAAAACAAGGATTAAGAAATCGGAGGTGAAGGATCTTGTTTACTGTAGAAGAATGTTCAGCTTATATGTCCTGCAGTATAATCTAAAGATGGAGTAATCCAAATTTGTGTTTATGTTATGGTTCTGAATCATTTCATCCTGTTGTCTCTGTGGTTACAGGTGGTAAACCAGTAATACTGGTGGTGATGCATCCCACCTTCAATCCATATTATGTTGTAGCTGAAAGCCGGAGACAAGTGACCAACCCAAATGTCCGCCTCACTGTGGACTGTCTGTTTCGTGATGGCAAGCTCCTCAACTCTAAGCTTAACAATAAGATGTGGAATGAAATAGAGATATTTTTGGAAGTTTCCACTCTCCAGGTAATGACAAAATGTATTGATCTGTTATCAGGTTTACACATAATTATTTTGGCATATACTTAAATACTTTCTTTCTTTGTTTCATTTTATTATTCAGGTTTTGTTGTTTGGAACGATCAAATGTAAGTATGATTGTTCCAGTTTCATACTATTCTATTAAGGAGTGTTTCCCTAAGGGACACATTTTAAAGTAATTATCCCTCTTTGTTTTGTCTTGATAAGTCAGCATGTTAGAATAAAGCCTACTTGCTCATGGATTGAGACTAAGTTTCCAAACCATTGCTGTATACAACAAAGAGGAATATATAGTTTAAACATATTAAAGTATACTGTAAATAGTCTTTTGGTGTTCAAAACTTTGAATAATAGAATTTAATATTCTAATAATGACTTTGGATTGTTTGGCCTATAAGAATGATCTGAGGTGACTCATTGCTCTTTTATTCTTCATTTTAGATTTGATGAATCCTCGAGTACTTGGGATTGCAGCTCTAACTGCTGTAGTGATCTATGTGTATTTCAACCGTCCTGAAATAAAAAAGAAAATAGGGCTGTGAGAGCAGTCCCTGGATAGCAAAACCAAAAGGAATCTATTTTTTAAGGTCAAGGAGTCATATGGCTAAGTTCAAGGCTAAGTTGGAAATAAGTACATAATCACATATTTTAGGTAATCGATTCAGCAACAACAAGAACAACAATAACAATAATAAGGAGAAAGATTATTAGATGAGCACTGGGACATTTTTCTAGCCATGTCATTAATGCAGACAGCAAACTAGATGCACATTTTCATGAAAACAAATTGTCCTGTAAAACAACACTGTGCACTGCTGTACTTATATACAGTGTTGGTTTACTAAAATCACTTCACACATCCAGGGTATCTTGTTGGTTATATTACAACTTGGTGAAGCTATAAATAAAAGCAAATCATCTCTATGATGTAATTCTGCTGATTTGTCCAAATAATCTTATCAAAACTAAATAATTTGTGAATAATAAATTCAAATGTTTCATATTTTGCTTGTCTATGCTTATTAATTTATCTTGGATCTAAGTGTGAGTAAACTCTTACATAACATAACATCCTTTAACCACCAATACCTTTACTGCATTTTGCCTGTAATTTATACAGACCTGTTACATTTTGTCTATATCTTCTGCTGTTATTGAATTGTATTTTTTGTTGTATTATTTTCACATCAGTAAATAATGACGTGCAACTCCTACATCCTGGAAATATTTATTTACAGTTGAATTGAATTGCACAAGCCACTGTAAATAAATGTAAATAAAACAGCAAAAGAGTTTAAATGTTTTAGCATTAACTGTCCTAAACATAAAAAAAATGAAATGATGGTCTGCTGAGCAGCTGAGTGGAAGCCCTTCCTTTGAGTCAAAAACAACAGTAGTGCAGGTTGTGATACGAGGCGGGACAACCAATGACAAGTTGATACCATATGAACATGCACTGTGTTGCTAATCAATCAGTGTGGATACACGAATCTCCTATATGTAGTATTTTTTTCATAGGTAATGTAAATATAAACATATTTGGATGTGATATTTGTCAGATCTGGACTCAAAACGTGAATCTGATACCAGTGAAAACAAGATGATATGGCCAATCTATTCAAATTACTATCATATTGTTTACTAGACCATGCAGAAGCAGCATCAGTAACCAAGAGAGCTAAGACAACACAGAGGAAAATGAAGGCTAAGTGAAATTAGCTTGGAGGCATTTCATTCTGGCTAACCAACAGTATTTCCTTGTATGTTGGCAAATGTTTTTAACTTAAGAGCAACTATGGTCAAGTGAGCTGACACTACTATTTCTCTCTCTCTCGCTCACTCTCACTGTCAGTGCATGTAGTGTAACAACAAATGCTTTTACTGCACTTAACATGTTGTCCCCAAGTCTATGAGTTTTATTAAATGTCAGCAGTTGCATGTGTTTGTGTGCATGTGTGTATGATGGTATGAGCAATAAAAGGAAAGAAGAAACTAGTGTGACTATAAATAATAAAGCAAATAGCTTTTGTTCATTTTTAATTTCAATATTTTTGTCCTGTTGTCACTAATAAATAATTATGAGGTACATTTACATTCAAAACAAATTATTGAAGTAATATTTGTGTTGAGACTGACGTTGCCTGAAACATTAAAAAACACAAAGCTTAATTAACAGCTCAGTTAACCTCGGTACTGCATACTCGTTATCGGTAGATACCTGACACCATGCTGGTATGAGAACAGAGTAAAAGAAATACAATTTGACATCACTTGTCTCTTAGTTAGAATAAATGTAATAAATTCGTTTTCAGTGACACATGAAGTTGGATGTTTGAAGACTGACTTCAGTCCAATCAGAGCCACTTTCTGATTGTCTTTATACAACACTGCCACCCAGTGGATATATTTGTCATATTTCTTGAGAAGAACAAACAGTAGAAGTTGTGAAAGCTTGGGTAAATATTAACGGTGTACACCTACACTATATATGGTGCAATTAACCCCAAATTTTGAACATGTAGTTTGGAGACCCCAACATTGTAACTGCTAGTGTCTTTGTATTGCACACTATAGTAACTAAATTTCCTCCGCTGCTGCTGTGCTCTTATCTTATTTCCTTCAGCACACAGTTATGTCTGCAGTTCCTGTTCCGTGACTGACACGTTGCCTTCAACAAACAGTGGAAAGAAGACTGGACGTGGGGGAGGGGGGTGTTCATTGGTCTTGAGCGTGGGGTAAGATATGGCAGAGACACCAACATCTTATCAAAGTACTCCGTAAGTAAGCTTCTTAAATATTGGTTTTAGATCCTTTTTCTCAGACTGTTAAAAGCTAAATCCCAGATTATACACTGCTAAGGTTTGGGTTTTTTTCATTTGTTTATTATGCTGTGTTCTATTATAAGTTTGCGCAGAACAGCTGTTACCAGGATGTACGCATATTTACCTGAAGTTATTCAGCTTTGTTAAAGTAAGTAAAGTAAAGGCACCTTTCTCTCTTTCCATGTCCCTACTTAGAAGCACAAATGAAGAAAATGGTGAGCAATTACATTTGTTTTTTTTTTTACTTAATTTCAAACACTTTAATGTTTAATTTATATAGCGCTTTTCAAGGCACCCAAAGCGCTTTACAATGCCACAATTCATTCACTCTCACATTCACACACTGGTGGTTGCCCTGGGGCAGACTGACAGAAGCGAGGTTGCCATATCGCGCCATCGGCCCCTCAGGTAGGTGAAGTGTCTTGCCCAAGGACAGAACGACCAGGACAGAGAGCCCGGGGATCGAACCGGCGACCTTCCGGTTACAGATATGCTTCCCAACCCCCTGAGCCACAGCACCATGCAGCAGACTAGTAAAAAGGAACTTCATGCTTGGCGAATTGCAGAATTTGCAACTAAAATTGGAATTGCTTTTGGTTAAAAGAGAGTGCATACTGGACTTGCAGTATATTCACTGTCTAGAAATGTAAATAATTGCTCCTGTTGCTCATGATTACTCTCATTTTTCATGTCTACATCTAGTTTGCTCTGTTTTTTTCTATACTGTTTTAACTTAGTTTCACTTTCTCTTTTAACTGGAAATTGTATTAGCATGCTAGTCCATGCTAATCTAAACTGAAGGGCAGAGCTGCAGGTCTATGATTACTTCTGTGGTTTAAAGTTTAAACAGATTTTGGGAGCAGCTAAAAAAATCTATTTTGCTTAGATGGACTTCCATTAGATCTCTTCAGGTCTAAATAGATCTAAGTGTGCTAAGGGTACTTCCTGTTATTTCAAAGAAGCTGCCTGCTGACCTTCAAACATGGACTTAAAACCTTTTTATTCTTACAGTTAATTCTTTGTGTGTGTGTGTGTGTGTGTGTGTGTGTGTGTGTGTGTATTTCTGTCTTGTATTTTATTACTACATAGTTTTTATCTTCCTATCTTTTAATTTAAGCACATTGTGTCTAATGAAATTTTCTACATTAATAAAATTTACATTCATATGTTATACATTCTGTAATTAACATTGAGGTGGAAAGTTTACATAATTTTAGATTATTTTGAAACTTGCAGAATGAATTATCTTCTTTTGCTTGAAGCTGTGCAGCTACACAAAGTTAAGAACAATTATCTAATTTTTTTTCCCAAATCTTTAGCTTTGGGGAAAAAGTTCTACGTCTTCGTGGCAGGAAAGACAAATGGGGCTCATCATTTCATTGTTAGAAAGATGATCAGCTTTGGCCAAAGAGAGGTGAAGACGTCTCCAGACGAATGTGACTACATTCTGGTTTTCTGTCCTGTTGTTTCACGAGTTGGAACCGACATCACAGATGCCCTGAGCAAACTCCCTTGTAAGAAAAGCTACATTATATTATTTAGCACTGACTGAACCTTATAAATGATTGTGGGAAGGTATTCTAAAAAATGCAACTGTATGTGACTGGTCTTACATTAGGTATCCACCTATGCAGTATTTACATAGCAAACTGGTTCAGCAACATGTGGCTCTTCAGGCAAAGAGCCACATGCAGCTTTTATGTTCTTACAGCATAAGCTACAGATGGAAAACGTGTTTTGAATTTCTTGTTTTCAATCATTTCACCCTCTCTTCTTTGTGTTTTCAGGTGATAAACCAGCAATTCTGGTAGTGATGCATCATACCTTCAATATTGATTATGTTGCGGGTGAAAGCCGGAGACAGGTGGATAACCCACATGTCCGCCTCACTGTGGACTGTCTGTTTTATGAAGACAAACTCCTGAATTCCAACCAGAATGAGATCATGTGGCATGAGGTGAAGAAATTCTTGCGGGTTTCTCCTCCTACTCAGGTAAGTGACTGATCTAACACAAGGCTTATTATCAGTAAAGGATGATCACTGTGGCTGATTTCTTTCATTCTTTCTTTCAGCTGTCTCCCTGTCAGAACTTCAAGAACTGTAAGTGTGACTGTAATATTTCTTCTTTTTAATTTAATCAGTTTTTTCTAAAGTGTTTTAGTGTAAAATTCCTCTTTGGTTTAAATTTCATCAACTGTCTAATGTGATGTAATTTAGCTTTTGAACTTTATCACATTTGTTTCTCAGCCTAATACATTGCTTTGATTTGTTATAAATGTTGATTGTTTGCTGCTTTTGAGAGTAATCAAAACCATATGCAGCGCTGTCAATCAGATTAATCAGAATATAACAATGGTAATTGTAAATGATACCAGACTTATTGCTCCTTTCTTCTTTCTTTCTTTTTTTTTTAGGTTGGATAATGCCTTTGGTAGTGGTAATATTAATTTTGGCTCTGCTAGTAATTTTAGTCATATTTTTAAAACGTTAAAAAGTCGCTGAAAGTGAAAGCTGATGTGGGTGTTTGTAGAGATGAGTCTCTTGATCAGTTAGCAAAAGTAGAATAGAAGTGAAATGATGTAAAAACTGATTATACTGATAGATATGTGAACAAATTCACTTGACTTGATGATAATATGAAATTATGTCATTATATTTCAAGTTTGTAGTTTGAGTGTGTGTGTGTGTGTGTGTGTGTGTGTGTGTGTGTGTGTGTGTGTGTGTGTGTGTGTGTGTGTGTGTGTGTGTGTGTGTGTGTGTGTGTGTGTG